ATGACTTACAGATTCACAGCTCACTAGTTTTGTTGCCATAAACCAGAAAAACCAGACTGCCAGACAGAGTACGTGTGTTTCATACTAAGATACCTCTCTATGCATCCTGGAGGTTCATGCCAGTGATGCTGTAATAGTTGCACTCAAAACAAAATTGCTATCTCTTTTCTTTCTTCCAACTTCAAAGACTTCACTTTTTTTTTTAATTACAAAGTTAGCATTTTAATAACATTAAGAACACACTTAATTCTTAGGTAAGAAGTTTTACTTTGTCAAGCCAGAACTATTAATATTACAAAAGTGATCATAAACACTGAAATATTGCTAGCCTTCTCTTCATGTTTCCAAAAAGATCTAGTTTGTGCTGTTTGTATACTCTGCTCAGTCATAGTGCTGTGAACTCATAAACTGTCAAGATGGCTTTTTCACTTACACTATATCTCAAAGACCTTTTTGAGGCCCCCCCCCCCCCGCTTTTCTTAACCACATGCTGAGGAAGGATGGTTAGGAACATCATACTCATTTAGTAGCTTATTTTGCCATTTATTATTCATTTTGTCATTGCTCACTAATTGTATTTAGCTTAAAGCTTTTCTTCTTTTGTGTGTTGAAAACAGAATGGATGGGGGTACAGCTGCAGAAACTGGAAAGGATAGTCCGCCCAATTTATAAAAGCAGTTTCAGTGGTGTGATAAGTAAACGAAGTAAACAAAGAGCTTAAGTAGCCTGATGCTGTATCAGTGATGCAGGTCAGAATTTTGTTTCTTATTTCTATGCGCAGATCACTGTTCTGCAAAGACTCTCTTGCAGATTGCTCTCTGTACTGAAACTGTAAGTGCAAGCCAAGCATTTGTAGCAGGATGTCCATCTTGATAATAAAGGTCAGTACTGGAACATTGAATGAGAGCGCATTCTCGGAGCGCAAACGCACTAACACAGCCTTAACTGAACGTGGGGATTCGGGATGAACAATTTAATGCATAAACTGTCTAATCGATTAGCTGCTTTCACTGATCCTATTGCAATCCTATGACAATGGCAACTGTTGATATGAAAAGGGTAGTACTTGTAGGTTATTTTAGTTGCCTCTTTGATCTGTTTCAGCAGCTGAGAATGAGGTGGAGACATCATAATGGTGTCAGCTCTCCTTGAGCCATCAGCAGGTGCTCAGAGATCACTTGATTTGAGAACACTTGCTCTAATACAGTCACAGCTGCTCTTTCTAAGACCTTTAGATTCTACAAGATGCATGGGATTTACTGATGGGAAGGCTATATTTTCTCTCTGTATCTTAATTCATGCATTGCCACTATTGTATGCCTTTTTCCTGAGAATTTTTCTGCAGTTATGCATCACACAGGTTTATAAACTCTGAATGTGGTACAGTCAGTTGAAATACCATTTTGAACGCCTTGTGAAAGGCACATCCTTTCCACACTGATGTGATTTGACTTGCATATTTATAAAATATACTGCTTTTTGAAATAAGATGCAGCATCAATTTTTGTAGACAAATAATTAGAGTATTTTTTCTGTGGGTTTTTATGAAATATCTATATCTATTTAATGATAAATGACTTTTTAACCCATAGGACAGTAGCGTTCATGAAGTAGAGCAACATTCAGCCATTTAGATTCCTTTTCTAGGTAGACTTTTATATGGAAGAGTATATATTTTGTCACAATAGCTCAAGAAATATCAGCACCAAATGCTGTTTGACTGGAGTATTTCAATTTCCTGTCTTTGCAATGCAGGGAGGTTGTAATCTCACTGAGAAATGACCATATGTTCCCCTCCAAAAGCCACTCTGCGCAGTTCAGTTTAAGGCTTGATCTACATAGGGATATTTGCACTAGGTGTTTGTATTCCAGTCGTATTTGGGCATTTGTGCTGTGTTCAGATACACACATTTTTAGTTATGCTGGCACAAAACAGCATCTCAAGGTTTTAAGCGCTATCTAGCGTTAGGCAGACTGAGGTTGCAATAAACCCTGATGTTCTATTTGGCTACTAATCTTAAAACTTCACAGCCATATACTTGCAACAAAGAGGCAAGTTTTCTTTGGCACCCTTTGGTGAGGCGGGTATTTACTTATTGCTCCAGGGACTGAGTACTAACAGAAGGGAGCTGTTTACTTTTCAGGGAGTTTACATGTATTAGAGCTTTTTAAGAGAATAATATTTATACTCTGGGAAAAAAATGAAGCTTTGCTTTGGCCCCTTTTAAATCTAAATACTATTAATTCTAAATACTGTTAAATAGTACTGCTAAAATATTGTGTTTTGCTGTAATTGTTGTAGCCTTCCTTAGAGAACAGGAACAGTAAGAAAAAAACAGTTTGGAGATATCAGAAGGAAAGACAAGTATGTTTGTTATGGCCACGTAGTAGAGGAGTTCTAGCAGCACTGAAATATATGGCAGATAGGAGGAGGATATTCCACTGTAATTTTCGTAACTTCAAGGTGACCTCTCTTCAGTAATAGTTGCAGCCTACATTCTTAAACTTGTAATCTTAAGATGCTTTGGCTAAAAATTGAAATTATTGAAATAATTACTTAAGGTACCTCTATGTCAGATTGTTTTTAAAGAAACCTTAATGTCTGCAGCACATCTTACTTGCCTGGAAAAGCAGCTTGGAGAATTGTACTTAATTATTGCTGAAAGATAAGTTAAAAATCTGTGTATAAGTAGTTTTATTTTAAAACGTCTAGTATTGCTGCATTCAGATGCTTCTGAAATACAAATAGCACTGACTCAGGAACCTTAGGCTTTTTTCCAGAGATCAGGAAAAGCCAAAGTATAATTTGCTGTATACCAGTCAGGCGCTTTGGATGGAGAGTTGCATTGCTTAAACTTCTCTAAAAGCAGTTGTAAATTCTGATATGTGGTTGCTGATGTTAAATACAATGTGTTTAAAAGCAGTGCCTGAAAACTTAGTGGGGGAGGGGGAAAAAAGGACTGGAAAAAAATAGGAAGATAGCTTCCTTCAAATCCAGACGCCTTCTTAGCATACGTTTAATCTGTGCTATTTTGATCACTTCTGACTTTATTAAAGAATCTAGTATGATCTTAGTACAAACATGCTGTGCTTATCTAACTAAATCTGTACTTTTAAATGCTGGTTTGCCTATAAAGGTCTGCATTTTGACTTAACATAAAAGAAATAACTTCCTAAATTGAAACACTTGTAACCTATTTTCCTGTGAATTACATTAAACTGAATTGCTTTGCTTTTTCTCCTTGTGAATGATGAAAAGCAAAACAAAATCAAATTTTATAGATGTTTTTAGACATAAAGGAGGAGAAAATATACTTGGCTTCTCTTCGTTGTTGCCTTTTTATTCTGTCTTTGAAATATCAAGGCTGCAAGGTGCTCCGTTCTGCCATTTTAGTGGATAACCTTGGCAAGAGATTAGTAAGGTGACTAGTGATGTCACATGAGACTATTTCTCAGCTTCAACTCTCATCCATCACAAATAGCAGGAGGAAAATTGCATTTTGTATGTGTAATGGTTCCCTGAAGTTTGAATAGGGGAAGTACAGGTAAAGAACCCGCATGTATGAATATTTTTGTAAAATTAATTCTATAATTAGTTCATCACAGTTGCATTTTGTGTAGTTAATAATAATCAGCAGAGATCAACTAGACCTAAAAAAAAAAAAAAAAAAAAAAAACCCTGTCCTGTCCCACCTAGGCCTTTTCTAGAGTAGGATTTAAAGCTGTATGTAACTTGTGGAAGCATACCTTTAAATCCTGGTCTGGACAAGGTCCTAGAGATGACTTCTTTAGCTGGGTAAAAGAGCTGCCTCAAATTACCTTGTCCTGTGACATAGCTCTTCCAGTTTTGCTGTAGGTCGCTTCCAACTGGAAGGAAGAAAGGCCTAATAAGTAAGAGGGATGGAGGGGACATGAAATAAAACAGATGAAAATGGTTATATACGATGTGGTGGTAGTTTAGATTATTATTATTATTTAACCAATTTAATAGCATGGTGGCTGAGTAGATGTTATATTCAGGGTGAATTCTGGCAGCTACCAAGCAACTGCTGTGGCTCACAATCCTTGCTAGCCCAACCTGCCTTTTTATTTGAAGTAAAATTAAACGCATGCTTTCATGTCAGCCAAGAGTTTGCCTCCACCCTAAACTTACTTGCTGAATTTTGCACTGGACTAGTGCAGGCATGTTTTCAGCTTTGCCAGTCTGATGCTGAGGCAGCAGTGTTTTCCATCGTCACAGTGACTTTTGAGGTAAAGGTGTGTCAAGGACCTAACTCTATATGACAGTGAAAGACGAAACAGCAAGGACCACCTTTGAGGGAAAGTGAGTAGTTTGGTTTTTAAATGTGTCATGTAATCCATAAACAAAAGCTTTTCTTTATGCATAGCTAATAATTCTTATGAATTTTATGGAATCCGTTATCCACTATCTATGAAACTTAATTTTAAACTATTTCTTGTTGTATCCTTTACTTCTCCAAATGGGCTAGTCAAAGTAATAGAATGGCATCAACAAATGTTAATTTTGATTTCACCCTCTATTTCTTTCAATTTCTTCTTACTCTAGCACTGTGCTGCATGATTTTCATTGCAGACTTCAAGTTAGTAAGAAATTCATAAAAATGAATATGAGAAATACTCGTTAGACTTCCTAAAAACTTTTCTGTAGAAAATCTGTCATTCCAGCTTTGTTTAAAATTGCCCCGATATAAAACTGACGTATGTAAATTAAAATTATGTTAAACCAACTTGATAATAGAGGAAAGCAGTTGTAAGGCTTTTGCTCCTGCTTCCTGTGATGTTTGTCATAAACAAATGGGATTGTTGATTCAGTGGAAGTCTGTAACAAAGATGCTCACCGATATTCTAATCGGAATTATCTTTAGTGTTTCACTGTCAAAATGGAAGAATATTGAACTGGTTTCTGTAAGATCTGTTTTGAGTCTGATATTTGTAAGTCTTCAGTCATACAAGTCACTACTGAAATTTAGGGCAAGCGCTGTTTTTGCAGAAGATGCCAAGCTGGGAGGAGCTGCAAGCATTTGAGAGAACAGGATTCAGGATTTTCTTGACAAGTTGGAGAAACGAGCTGACATAAGATGCGGTTCAAAACGGGAAGAACGCAGCCCTACACTAAGGTAGAAATAATCAACTGCACAAATAAAAGCTGCGAAACTGTTCAAGTAAAGATTTTTGAGGTTATAATGGACCTCAGGAGTCAAAGCATCAACAACTACGATAAGAGCGAATAGCATACTGGACAGTGTAAACTGAATAGAGCCTGCAGAGCTTGTGGATTGATTGATCTTCTCTGAGGCTTTACTAGTGCTGAGTATGGGTAGAGAAGTACTACTGGGGTAGTAGTACTGGTTGCACCACTTCAGGTTGCAAATTGAAAAGGCCCCCAAGGAGAGCAATGGAAATGATCAGAGATGTAGGAGGAAAGATTGAAAGTATTAGTTATGCTTTAGAATAAAGAAAAAATAAAGGCTAAAGGGAGACCTGATGCAAGTCTTGAAATATGTAAAAGGGAGCTATGCATGATTGTACCTATGGAAAAGGAAGGTAATGCTGCTGTTCAAATCCACTGTAGCTAGAACTGGAAATAATATTCTTGAGTTGTGGCAAAGGAGCTATGAGTGAGAAAAAAACTTTGAAGTAAAGATAGCTGAGCTGTGGGGTGGGTTGTATAGGTGCTATGTAAATTATGTATCGCTGGTGGCTTTTAAAAATGGGCCAGACTAGATATCTGTGAAGAATATTTGAGTTTAGTATATCCTTCCGTATAAGCATGGGGTAGACTAGGGCAACCTCTTGAAAACCCTCTAGTGTATTCATACTTGTTTCTCTGCTAAGGATGCTAGTGTTATCTGTTGTATTGGGTGGGAAGGTGTATACTAAGGCAATAGACTGACTCCATGTAGATCACTCTACAGTCCCATGATGGTTTATAGTAGTTCAGAAAAATTTTTAAAATTTTTAAGTGGTGAATTGATTTATAGAAGAAAATAATGGTCTTTTACATGTTTCCTGAGAAAAGACACACTTATAAATATTGTCTATTCCAATCACTCTATTTTTGCTGCTGAGCAGTAGGAAAGGTAAATGTCATGATTAAATATTCTGATACTAGTAAGTGTCAGAGTTAAAATGGATTATAATAGTGTTCACTGTGGTGTTTAATTGTACTTTAATACTTCCCTCCAGCTGACTTCTGTGTTCAAGCATGTAGATGGGTGGTGCTCAAGAGTGAGGCAGTTATTAAATATTTAAAGCATTCTTGGTTCCGAGCCTCATTTATTACGCAGTGTAGAATCTCAGAAGTGATAGAGGGGATGACTTGAGGTCATCTACCTCAGCCCCTGCTTCAAGCCAACATTCAATCAAATCAGCCCTGGCTTTGTGTAGCTGAATGTTGAAAACCTCCAAGGATGGAGGTATCGCCACTCTGGGTACCCTATTTCAGTGCTGCTCTACCCTCCTAATGAAAAAATTTCCCTAATATCTATTCTGATCCTCTTCTGTTTTCCTTTGACCTCAGTGGATCCACTACTAGAACATCTGCTTTACAATCACTATTGAACGTTATTTTCATAGCTGTGCGTGATAAAAGTATTGCCATTTCACAGAGGAGGGCTTGAGGAACTGTAGTTATGAACATTTACAATTTTGGTAGTAATGGCATCTGAGATGCAGGAATTTACAGTTATAATGCACCCCTTTAAAAAAGCATAACTTAGTCTTGTATAAGTGCACATAATCTTCTCAACAATTGGAGCAAGCCATTCCGTATGCTTGAGCATGGCTATTACTGCCTTTGAAATTGAGATTAAAGATCAGAGACATAACGATGAATTAATGAAAACCTTAGGAGTAGAATTTAAGGATTCCTAATTCCCTCTTCTTTCAGGGTATATTACTTGTAAAGTAATTTTATTTTAGTTTAAAACATCTCAACCTCAATTTCCAGAAAATGTGTTGTATGCAGTTAATGGCTAACCTTCCTTTGGCAAGTAGCCAGTCTGGTTTATCACTCTGGTGAAAAGCTCCTCAGTGGATGTAGTTTCTCCAGAGCTGCCTTACCACTAAAGGATAGTATGTTGCTGCTTTCTTTTCCTGTAGTCTTCTGCTTGAGCCTTACCTTTGCTTCTACAGGTAGTGCAAATTTCATATAAATACAAAGCACTTCTCATGTGTGCAAAAAATGCCGTCTCGGAAAACTAGAAGATGATTTTTATCATTAATATGTGTTCAGCTCAGTTTCTGGTAGTAATACTAGCAAGCTTTCTCTGCTTTTGTTTTAGCCTTTGGACTTTCATCAGGCTTGAGTTAAAAGATCCTCATAGAGTGAGGAAAGTGACTACCCAATGAGACTGCTGAAAAGGGTTCTATATAAGATGCTTAGAATGTATAATGTAGAAGTTGATTTTTTTTGTTTGTTTTTAAACTTTAAGTTATCCTGATCTTGTTCCACTAAGAGTTGCAGATTTTGAAATGAATTTGAGGAATGTAATTGAATTGTCAGTATTTGTTATTGTATTTTTTTCCAGTACTTCAGGGTTTCTTTTATTTTTTAAAAACCTTTAACACATACTCTGGGGCAGAGTGCTCCCATGTCCCCCCACCTTTCAGAGTCCGGAAATTTCCACACATATTTGACTTGATTTGCATGTGTTTCCTGCTTAATAAAGTCATGATTACCTATTGATGACTGTAGTATATGGCTCAATATCAAGGCAATGCATTTAACTGTAGGAGCATACAAAAATCAGTCTTGAAAAACCTTTCTCCATCTGTTTCTGACTTAAAGTAAAAGGAAATAAATCCATTACCTGACAGCAGCTTTGCAAACTTTCTTCTGCTTCTCTGAAAAATATCTTCATTACTGTTAAAAAAAAAATTCTCTGTATTTTCCTTTTCAGATGACTACTTTGGGCAACCTGACACCCTCAAGCACTGTGTTTTTCTGCTGTGATATGCAAGAAAGATTCAGACCTGCCATCAAATACTTTGGTGATATCATCAGTGTAGGTCAACGGCTGGTATGTTTGTTTATTTGTGGTAGCAAATTTTGATCACACATGTAAATCATTATTTTATACAACAACCGGTTAGTGGGTAGTTGATTTCAAATAATGATGTCTGTGCTTTTCATTCTTTAATCTTTTTTGTGCACTTTTTCTCTTACAGCTCCAAGGTGCACGGCTCTTGGGAATTCCGGTTATTGTAACTGAACAGTATCCCAAAGGTCTTGGCAGCACTGTACAAGAAATTGATTTAACAGGAGCTAAACTTGTACTTCCCAAAACAAAATTTTCAATGGTATTGCCTGAGGTAGAAGCAGCATTAGCAGAGATTCCTGGAGTCCGCAGTGTTGTCTTGTTTGGAGTAGAAGTACGTGCCCTGCCATTCTTGTACTGTTTTCTGATATTATATGTTGGCCAACAATAACATTAAGCATTGATTTCTGCAATAAAAAAGTAAATTTATATTGCTCAGATATCTTCTACAGGTTAAATTATTCTTTATTGTGCTAATTCTCTCTAAGATTACTCATAAAATGTAAAATTGGACACTTGTGAACTGATAACAGGCTGTTATCTCATACTCAGCTGATGTTTAAAACTCACACTGAGGTTACTAGTAATGTCATGGGTGGAAAAAATACGTTTTAACCCTAACTATGTACTCCAATTGAGGATTGTGCTACTTAGGTTTTATAATTATGATCTGTTGTTGTCATTTCCCTCCCCACCCAACTGCCCCCCAACCTTCCTGACAGACTCATGTCTGTATCCAGCAAACAGCATTGGAACTGATTGGCAGAGGTTTGGAAGTTCATATTGTAGCTGATGCCACTTCATCAAGAAGCATGATGGACAGGATGTTTGCTCTTGAGGTAATGTTTCCTAACGAAATCTTTTTCTGCCTTGGATCTGTATGTTAATTTCCATTTTTTTTATAAGCTTAAAAAAAGTTCTGAAGTCAATGACAAACAGACAAATGGAGACTTGAGAAGAGGTGAATGCTGTGATTCTCAGAATAGCTTGCAGGATAGAGAAGGCTTAATGATTTATATTTCCTTCTTAAATAATGATTTAATATGTAGAACCTCATTGTGATTGTTTTATGCAATACAGGTTATTTTAACCACTAGCTTGTTAGGATTTTTTTTAAAGGCATTTTTATCTGTACAGCAGAGGACGTTCCACAGAGCTTTTATTGTTCTGAGTGGAATTTGTTCTGTTCTGCTGTCTAAGTTCCTTGAAATACAACGGGATATTTTAAGTGATTGTTTGGAGCTCCATTTTGAATGTCTATCCCTCTCTCTTCTTTATTAGTATGAATTAAAGCTTAATCTCCACAATCTTTAGTTATATTAAATACTTCCCCCCACCACCACCATGAGCTTAGTCTGTCTAAATGTTGAAAAGTAGAGATAGATATAACCAAAAAAGTACAAGCCTGTGCAACTTTGTGGTAGCAAAATCATGCAAATGGTTTTATGATACTGTACTCTAACTTGCCTACAGGCATCATTGTTGAAAATAAAAAGTTGGTATATACAGGTATATATTGCAATTTTTGTCTCAGTTTCTAAGAAATTTTTGGAAATTAAAACCAACAGTAGCTAAAGCATTTTATGCTGTTTTCATAGAATCAGAGTTGTAACTTCTGAATCTAATGAACAGGACAGTTTGGGGCTAAAGGACAATCATCAGCCTGTAGCATTTGATTAAGCTCCCACTTAATCAGTCACGGATTTTAATGTAGTCTGTCCTGTAATGTATTGCGATGCACATGGAGCGCAAGAATGGCTGAAGTCATGGACTTCCCAAGTCAATGCAGTGTAGTAGTAGACAAAACAAATACAGAAAAACAAAACTGAAATGTTTGCCTTGTTCTGTATGTGTTTGTGTGTCTTATCACCTATACAGTGTCTGCAAGCATAGAAATCTGTTTAGAGCTTGAAGTGCTAAAAAGCTTTGCTTTTTTCTAGTCAAAAAGATAGTGATCTTAAACATAATTAATTAGTTGCAAAAACTGTAATCTGGGCAACTTAATCAGGGCTGGAGAAGGTAAGAGCTGGACACATTAGGGAGTAGGAGACCAGGAGAAGAAGGGGCACACAGAATATTAATGATCTTGATTTACCATGGTGGTATTTTATTAAGAAGGTGGGTAAAACATCAAACCATTGGAGAATTCTGGTTTAGACTAACTGTACAGCTCTACTGACAGTTCCTAATCTTGTTCTTATCATTCGTGTGTCAGGGGATGGCTCCATTTCTGGTGGACTGAGGTAAAGCACCCTGGGCTGTAGTTCCCTGGAGCTGCCTTATCTTTTGTAAAGATGGGTGTAATATTTGCCTTTTTCCAGTAATGGGGATACTTCCCTGATCACAGTGACCTTTCAAAGATGGTAAAGAATGACCTTGCAGTGATTTCAACCAGCTTGCTCAGCATCCTCAGATGCATCCTGTCTGGTCCCACATTTACCCTCAGTTCTCTGTTTTCCTTCAAGTAGCATGTCTTTGGATGACTGGGGAAAGTGGCTAAAACACTGCAGAAGTATAAAAGGAAAAAAAAAAATCAGTGTTCCTTTTAACAAAATTTGAGCTCCTTCCATATTGTGAATGTTAGGCTGAAGGCATAATTTTCTCAGGTGCAATTTAGCTTATGATTGTAGTGATTCTTTAAATTGTATATGCATGCTCCTAGATCTGCTGTTGGTCAAGTATTCAAGAGTCCAGAGTTCAGCATCCATATGTGCCACAGATCTTGAGCATTACTTTAGGCAGATTACCTCAGATTTCTGGTGTTAACGGTATCTTCATGCAATGCAGATAAAATCATTGGTTTGTGATAATGTGCTTACTGTGCTTATAAAGAACGTATCTAAACAGGTATGTTAAGAGGTACAGTTTAAATTGATAGCCAAAGCTTTCAGGTCTGCCTGAGGGCAGACTCTGCCTCTGCAGTGTGCTTAAAAACAACAGAAGACAAACTTGCAAAAAAGAAAATATAAAATTCCCATTTTTAAAGATAATTCAACCCAGCTGGTCAGGGTTGTAGCTACTCTTGATCTCTGCCCTATCTGATAAAGTTGTGTGTTATCACTGGCTGGTCTTGCACAGAGCAAATTCTGTTCCTGTTGGATTTCTTTACTATTCTACACTTGTTCTAATTGTTTCCTGCTATGTAGACACAATGTATGTTTATTTCTTGTGTCTGAAAGAGGATATTCTAAGAAAACTTTCCCTGAAGAAGGTCACCTAGTATGCTTAGTAATTGTATTTCTTCATGTCTAGTAATTGCAGAACTATATAAATTGTACTTATTCTTAGAAGTAGAGTATGAGTCAGTGCCAGCATTTTGATGTGGTAAGTTTTACCTTTTAAAGAAAAGACATATTACCATTTAAGAAAAAGACAATTATAAGAAATAGGCATGTCTTAGAAGGTAGTGTTCCTTAGCGGTCTGTTTTATTATCTGTATTAGTTAATGTGAAATTCTGTGTTACTGGAGATCAGCTTAACACATTGTCATGTTTCATTTTAATTTTCATTTTCTTTTGAATGTATATGTGCTTTAAATGTCATTGTACAGAGTAGAAAAGCTGGGGGAATTGCTTTGTTTCAGCTTAAGAATATTGTAAGACTTACTGTCATCATCACATTTTAGAAGGATTAATGTGCATAAACCTGTATTGGTTACTTTATCATTATATAGACTAGTGATAGTGGCTTCCTGAAATAAATATGGTAGTCATTAAAATTAATTTTTCCTCATCAGTTACTGTGTAATGGAACAACTAAGCAGCTGTGATCTCCATCTGCCCTAGAAAGGGCAGACTAAAGGAAAGATTCCTTTAGGAAAGACGCTTCCACCTGAAGAAGTACCTGTTGTATTTTCTACCTCTTACCCTCCTTTGGGTCTTTCAGGACACTAGCTGCATTAAACTTGGTGGAACATACAGCTAGGTAGAGAGCAACAAAGGGAAAACTGGATCCATGATAAATTTCACTGACTAAGTGTTTGTATGATTGCTGGGAAGCTGATGGAAGAGATCAGCCTTTACTGAAAGATAACTCTGCTATATAGGCAGCAACTATAGTCTTAAAAGTCTGAAAACTTTGCAATGCACAACTTGAGCTAGGCAAAGATCTGCTTAATTGTGCACTTATGAAATCTAGTAGACCTCTTTCAATTTGCTTTTTTTGTTGAAGGTATTCTGTAGTCTTTAAGATGATCTAACTCAGGAGCTACTTAAACTGAAATGAGATGTTGGTTAAAAGTAACTGTTGGAGTATTATGATATAAGGTCTGTAGTAGAGTTCTACTCTCTCTCTCCTGAGATTACTGTTACTAGTGTGCTGTATAAATCTGAAGACCAAAATGCTAGTATGTAACAAGCTCTGAAAAAAATTCAGTTGGAATTGTATTTCTTGATTAATGCCTTTATCTTGGACTTGGCTATTTTCTTTTTCCCCAGGTCTTTCAGATCTCCTGCAAGAGTGGAGAAAGCTATCCTCAAGAGTGTACGGGGGAGAAAGGGATACTAATAGAAGTGGGGTGGGTCTTGTGAAAGCTTATGTATTAACTGACTTGGAAAGAATCCGTTCCAAGTAGGAGGTCTCTTCTGTAATCCAGGACAGCCTTTTTCTCCCATGAAGTCTAATAAAGCAGAGCAGTCAATTTCCATCCTAGTTTTATCAATGGCATTGTTAACAAATGCTGGCATGGAATTGGTAATACTTTTATTAATAGGAGATCTTTTTAAAAATGACTTCTTCCCATCACAGTGCATATTCATTCACACTTACAAGTATTTCACATTTTTCTCTCTGCTCTTTTCTCTTGCAGCGTCTTGCCCGTACTGGAATTATAGTTACTACTAGTGAGGCTATATTGCTGCAGCTGGTAGCTGATAAAGAACATCCGAAATTCAAAGAAATCCAAAATCTCATTAAGGCAAGTGCCCCTGAGTCAGGGCTCCTTTCCAAAGTTTAAAGAGGACATGGTGGAAGAGAATTGTATTGTCTCCTTTAAGGATGAAGGAAAGCTGTAAGCGCACATGCACACATTCTTTCACACAAACTCTGGCAGAAGTGTATAATTAAAAATTGACGTATTTGTGTTTTCCTTAGCAAAAACTGTTTGGTTATACTTCTTGGTGCCGGTGTATTCTGTTCAGTCACAGCTGTCAAAGGTTATGGATACCATAGGACCCTTTTGTCAGATTTCCTATTTATTTAAAAAAAAAACTTAACAGAGGTGCCTGCAAGTCTATTCTGTATCCAATGATTGTAACAGCTCAAAGTGCATATTTCTGTGAAACTTCTTCATTGTGCACTTTGTAAAAATGTATTGTGGTATTATGTTCTACTTTTCTATTAGTAGAAGATAACTATGTATTGGATAAACGTGATGTGATAAGCTCTAATGTTCTACATAAATGAAACTATTTTAATAGAGCATAAGTTAAAAAGATATGTGGACTATGTGTGCATTTCTGTTCTCTAAGTTAAAATTTAAATACTTTGCTTGTTCAGTAGACAAGACACACAGATCAAGCAGCGGTTGATATTTGATTGCTTTAGGTAGCTAAAGCGTGTATCATGATTTTTGCTTATACTGAACTTATGACTACCCAACCTTCTTTATTTGACAGTATGCATAAAAAAAACCCCCCAACCCTGTCATTTAACATGACTGATGTAAAGTCATTCAGAACTAGCAGAAGATTACCAAAGGTTTAAATTGCCATTTCTAACCAGTTAAAGAACAAAACTTTTCAGCTTTTAATACTAAATCTAGTGCTACATTTAAATTTACTTTTTTACATGAGATTTAATAATCTTCATCTGATTCACTCATATGGCCAAGGAAGCTCTGAAACAAACCTCAGCTTCTCTAGATGTGTGCATAGTTTTGTAGGCTGCAGTTGGAGATATAATGGAATCTGGCTGAAGAGTGTTGGTCAGAAGAATAGCATCTGTAACTTCTTGATATATATTTTCTATCTGAAAACAAACTTTTAACATGTGACTGTTCATAAAAGCACTTTCTTCATGTTCTAGTGGCTTAAAAATGCTATATAAAGTTTACAGGGCAACTGTGACATTTATTTTTTTAGAAGAATTCTAGAAGATGTCATACTGAATGCTGATCTCTTTGGTAGAAAACTAATTGCAATACATATATTGTTTTAACTTGCTTGTTTTCCCCACAAGATGGCTCTAAAAGAATTGTTTCAGAGAGTTATAACCTTTATATGTTCAAAGCAAATAAAATGTTAACATTTACTGTCTCTTATGCTTGTGGTATTTATTAAAAAGCAAATCCTGAAAGCTTAGTTTACCTGAGACCTTATTCTATTTTGGGCAGCTGTGAAATTTCGGTAGATGTCATGGGAATTTTGTGTAAAGATCAAGAATGGATAATGTCCAATAATTCTTGTCTTGTGTCTTGTTATGGTGTTATTTAGTGTTCCACAGCTTCAGAAATGAACATTATGCTTCAAGTTAGAGGCAGGGAGGGGAGTTCAGTTGAAGAATCCTTGTCCTATATCACTGACCTACTTTTACCTTCTTTTCTGGTGTATTAATCATGTTGCCTAGCAGTGTAAAGTCCACTTATATAAATCAACAGCTGTGCACAAAAATGCCTTAAATTTCTTATGAAATGTTACTTTATTTTATGTATTTATGTTACTTAAGAGTTAGTAACAGAAGGAAAAAATGCTAATTCTTTTTTACATACATTTATTTTTAGAAAAATGTTTCTTCAGTACCAAGTACATAATTTTTGAGGCACTTGAATTTGATAGTGAAAAGTTACTGCTTTTATGCTGACGTCAGCTGGAGAGATGTCACAAGTTGCTTTCCACAAAATCCTTTCCTAAAGTTTTTACTGCAAGTAAGATCATCTGGGGACAAGGTGTCACTAGAGAGTCTTTTAAACAATATTCTCTGTGATGATTGTAATATTTATTTACTGTTTGCATAGCTTTTTCTGGGGGGAAAACATTTTTTTCCTCAGGGTCCTCAACTTGTGGGGGTTTTTCCATTAGCTTAAAAAAAGGGGGGGAGGGGAATAACCGAAGTGTTATTCCTTAAAAATGAGCTCTTAAATGTGAATTAAAGGACAGAATGAGTGAGGTCTTTTTGTTTTCGTTAGATATGTGCATTGATCAGCATCACACAGATCATTCAAATGAGATTCCAAGAGTGATTATTTAAAAAGGAAAACAAAGTGATGGCCGTATTTCATTTATGGAAAGTAAGTTTATTCCCAGGGTAGAATTTTCCTCATTTCCTCCTGCTTTTACTCAGCTGTTTTCTGTTCTCTGAGAAGTGGGTCTTCCTGTGGAGCAGATGATCAAAAGTGAGGAGTGTGAGAAGAGCTATGTAGGCCCATCTTGGACAGTACTGCATACCAGGAGCTCTTGTTATTTTTCGCAGAAGTTGTGGTGCGCATAATCTCTGAATATTAACAGTAACCTTTTACTGAATGCAAATGATTTTTTTTTTTTTTACATTGGCATGAAAACCTAGAGAACTAATATTAGTCATTATTTTTAAGCTGACTGTGTTTTCTTCCCTTCTCAACACAATACCTTGGTAGCTTTTTCCTCTTTTCCTACAAAATGGCAAATCAAACTGTTCTTTGTAATCAATCTTTAAATGAGCTGTGTACTGTTCTTAGAATGATAGTTGCGTTATGTAGTGTATATACAGTTTTGCCCCCCCAAGAGTAGAATAAATTAATGAAATAACCAGGGGGAGAATTCTTTAGGGCATACTGATGTGATTTTTTTGAAGAAGCTTAATTCTTTACTGCCTAAGTGCTAAACTGTCCTTTATCTGAAGTCTTCACCGCAGTTATGGGTATGAAACAGTTAACTGCTTCAGAATAGCTGAATTTCTCTTTCCAGGAAAAAGTAGGAATATAGTCCTTGATGGAAAAAGATTGATTTAGTTTCCTCAGTAGGTGTTCTACTGCAGCACAAAGCTGCTGATGTGTTCTTGATCTCAATGGAGTAGCTAATGTATTAATTCTACCCAAAATATAACAATTTGGGTATGTGTGGTGATTGTATGTGTGGAAGAAGTAGGCAAGGGTGTTGTGGAAGCAAAACTTAGAGAAACTAAGCTTAATGGAGGGTGCTGTAGCATAAGACTGTGGCAGCGCTTTTAATGGTGTTTTGTTATTTTGTTGTGGGTTGTTTTTTGTTTTTGGACAGTTCAGGTTCTGAATTTGAAAGATGATCCTATCTACTCTCAAAACTGTGGTCCTGTTATTTTTCCTCCTGTGTGTTAATTTGATGTGAAGTAAAGTAACTAAGGTCTCCAGTACCCTTTGCAAAACCTGAAAATGGAGAATAAATGGAAAATCAACCATTGCTAGCAGATATTTATTACGGTCATCACAAATGGCTGGAGAAATGGTGTTGGACTGCTCAGCCATCATTTTTGCACTTGCCTGACAGCAGTTCTCAGGTAAATCTGCACTTCAATAGATCGTGCTGCTTATTGATTATGTTCACCATTAGACATCAGTCCTTGTCCTGTGTTCCCCCCCTCTTTTAGTATTTATTACGTTACCTAAAAAATGACGTTAGTCTTTCAGGAGGCAAGAATCGGTCTTTTTTTAGAAGGCTTACAGATTTTTGTCAAGACGTTATTGTCAAACAAACTATTGTACTGCTGCAAATTTGTTTTCTTATGTAAGGGAAAAGCACTGACTGTTCAATGCTTTGTCACTTCACAAACCTTATTTCAATTAATCGTGATGTAGTAGATACAGCTGTGGAGCACTGAATAAAGGCAAATGATATTAGGGAAGATAAGGCTTTATTTTGAAAAGATATATGATATTATCTAGTATTATTATGTAGTGCACTGATAAATATCATTCTTCAGAGTATTTTCTTCTATATTAAATGCTATGGCAGTGACAGGAGTCAGTGATTTGTAGAATCTGTTTTGCACCTCTGGATAAATTACAGAGGATAAAATGTAATAGACGGATATAACAGATGTCCTTCAGATAGGTTTAGAACATCTGCTCTACGAAAGGGTTATGGCAAGAAATCCTTGAAAGAAAGTTATTTTGTGATTGTCTGGTGCTGGCTTAAAATGTTTTTGGGGTGAGATACTTTCATGAAGCTGATATTAGACCTTTTTGTAATCTCAAGAACTGCTCCTGGTTATGATAGAGGTTACAACAGATGACATTCTGTTTTCTCTCAGGCAGAACTATTTATAAAGATAAATGCAGAAGGCGTGGTCTGCTCTGCAAGTACTCATTTGAATTGCATAACTTAGTTTTTCATAGGAGATAAAGGAATATTGGCAAAGGTCTGCTGTGAATAGATGGAATTTATTGAGTATTAGCATACTTAGATCAATGTAATTGACTTACTAAAACTGCCAGAGTTGGCAGCTCTCCTGCCACTAACAGCATTAGGCTTTGCTTTAATTAAACCTTTTTATGTGCTCAGGAGAAAAGACAGAGCAAACAGATGAAAAGAACTGTTAATAGAGCAGATGGTGAAGTGCAAAGGTAAAATAGAGAGAAAAAGCTTTTTCTTTTTTTTTCCTATTTACTAGTGTATTTTTTTTCATTGGGATGTGAAGAGGCTGGAACACTTAAAACAGAATTGCCTACCTAAAGTTTGCAAAAACTGATTATGTCACAGTAGTCCTGTCTTTGTCATTACTTTATTTCCTTCCTGAGCTCTTTTTACCCTATTTTCATTACTTTAGAACTGTCCAAAAAGCAGACTTCGCTAACCTTTCTGGTTTCAACTGGAATCGCCACGTTTTCTGACTAGAACTAGAAGGCTGAATACTCTCTTACCAAAATCAAAAATAAAGGGAAGATGTTATAGCAAAGACAAGATACCAGATACTGAGCACTGACGTCCCAGAGGCAAGTGTAAGCGGTTACCTGTACTGTGGGTTTGA